TAGTGCCATTTTAATTTGACACTTTGTTTTAATTTAGTCTATCATTTTGTATATTTTTCTTTTCTTTAGGTAAATATTATTTTTATAGAATTTCTATATGGAATTCCCACCCGAAGAGGTGATGGTAACGTTTTTGGTAATTAAATGTCATTTTAATGGACAACTTTTTTCTACAAAAGGATTAGTTAACATTATGTTATATTTTAACTTAAAAATTACTTTTTTTTTATTTTGATTTTACATCTTTTTAAATACATTTTTTAACAAGCTCTCTATTATTTCTTTATACCATTTAAATATTATTTTCTTCATTTTAATTTGGAATTATTTTTTATAAAGTCAAAACATTTAATTCTAAAATATAAAAAGTAATACTTTTTTAATATTTGGTTAGACTCGACTAAACTACTAGTTACATTTGTTGAGTCAAAACCATCAAAACTAAAATAGCTAACTTGATAATTAGTTTGTTAGAGGTAAAATTTAGTGATTTATTCATTATTTTAGCTAAAAAAATATAAATAACTAGTTTGATGGAAATGTTTTTATTTGGGAGAACCCAAACAGGAATGTGGATCACTGCTGTGCCTTAAACGATGGCGTTTCACCTTTTTTTTTGGGTTCTATTTAGTGATATTGCCATTTGTTTGCAGCTTTTTGTTTTTATTAAAAAAAAAGTAATAAAATCTAATAGATCTATATTGTTTGCATTTGCACAAATAATTTTATTTTTATAAGATTATTTTAATTCGGAGATCATGTTATGATTTAATATATATATATATATATATATATATATATATATTTTTTTTGTTATATATAATCTCATTCCACTGAATAAACCATATACAATAAGATTTTAGACCTAATAGGATATTTTTGATTCCCAAATAAAATAATGTAATCATTTCATTTATTTATCATTTTGAATTCAATTTACTAAAATAAAATAAAAAGGATACACAAACACCCCTTAACATTTGATGGAAATACACAAACACCTTCTAACTTTTTCAATATATTACAGTCTATCATAAACAACATTTAGATGTTTTATCATAAACACCTCCACTGACATTATTGGTTGAATTGTAGACAATGCTATTATATAGCGCAAAATACATGAACATTCCTTAAAATTTTTGTGAAAAAAATCATGGACACCTCCTTAATTCAATATTCATTAAATTATTTTTATGTATACATATATATATATATATATATGTATATGGAATAATATTAATTAATTATTAAATTATTTATATGTATTTCTATGTATACATATAAAATTATTTTAAAAGTATGTTGTGATGTTTATAATGTAAAAGAATAATTTTAGTTATATCATGCTATGAAAATGTAACTTAAATTAATATGAATCATAATTTAAATTAATTTATTTATGTGCATGCCTATTTATATAGACATAAAATGAAGATTTATATGTATTGTATTTTTGGTTTTTAATTTTTATTTTTTATAGATAGGAATATTGTATTTTTATTTAATAGATTAACTATAAAATAATAAATAAAAGGATTACATTATTTCAAACAGTATTATTTCCGCAAAGAACACTGTGAGAATAGAACTAGAAAAAGAAATAGAAAAAAGAGAGGTCATTTTACATATACAAATTTTGCATATATATAATATATATTTATATTGTATAGCATCACACTATTTTTTTAATTGTTTATCTTTTTCCATGTTTTGCAGTTGGGTTGACAATAGCTCACACAGGCACTAGGAATTGTGCTAAAGTGTTATATCCTAGAGGGTGCATTGAAGATACTTGTTATAGCCGCTGCTATCAAAACGAACCCGGAGAAGCTATTACTGGACAGTGCGCTGGAGCCGCTTGTATTTGTACTTATTGGTGCAATTAATCTCTCTCAATATGTTTTATTTTCAAGATCACGTGTATCTTATTTAACCTCATCATTAGAGGGTGAATAAATTTATAATAAAGGATTTATATGCCTAACATATAAAATTTGCAATGAAATATTAGCTGCTAATAGACTCCGTGTAGCGATTGGTCGCAGAGCCTCTTCTGTTTGTTCTTACTCGTGCTCTTAATTAAACCCATTTTTTTTTAAAACCATTTTATTTTCAAGAACAATTGTGTCTTATATAACCTTGTCATTCGAAGGGTGAATAAATAGATAATAAAGGATTTATATGCCTAGTACATACTTGAATAACGCTTAACATTTTTCTTTATTTTATTTTATTTTATTTTATTTTCTTTGTCACACAAAATATGTCAGTAGGGATTAGTTGTTAATAAAAAAGGGCGCAAGGCAACACAAGGGTTGTTAAATTTTTCTGTACAAGTTTGTCAGTGATTGGATTTGATATTATTTGAATCCACTGATTATAAAATAATTTTATAACAATGCTAGAGGGCTACAATTTTTGTTGTCACAATGGCTCAAAACTGTCAAAACGACGTCGTTTTGGCATGTTTTGCACCTAAAACGATGTCGTTTTGACAGTTTTAAGCCATTGTGACTACAAAAATTATGGCCCTCAAACATTTTCCATAATTTTAATCCGACCTTGATTGGATTATGACAATTTCAATAAGGGGCGTTTGATTCTGAATCCGAGTCCAATTTATCCAGACCCAATCCAAATCCCAAAAACCAAGTGAAAAAAATGAAAAAGAATGTTGAGATGGTAGAGTAAGGTGGGTCTGGGTATAAAAGAGAAGGTGAGAAAGAATAAAAAAATGATTAAGGTAGCCGAAAAAGAATCCGTTTCATTGCTTGATGAAGCCAGTGATAGAAAAAAAAATGATTAAAGTTTTGTTTTTAAATTAAAAAAAAAACTAATCCGATCCAATCGGATATCTTTGAATCCAACCCGTTAATAATAGGATAAAATGGATTCGGGTTTAATTGAATTATTGGATTGGATTTTTTAATGGATTCAATTATTTGAGTTGTTAATAATCAGATGAAACGGATTCAAGTTTAATTGGATAATTAGATTATTTCTTTAACGGATTGAATGATTTGAGTTTGGATGGGGTCAAATTGAGGTCGATGTCTAAGGTCTTAAAGAAAACAAAAATGTTATCAAATGAATTATTAAATATTTTACATAATATTTAAATAAGTGTGTGACTCACACCACGTGACACTCACATGGGTTCTACACTCATATGAGTATTGCGTAAAATATTTAATAATTCATTTAAGGTCCCTAATATTGCTCCAAAGAAAATAAAATTTGGGTATGGATAAATCACACATTTAACTTTTATAGTTTGATTAGTATTTTCTTTTGGTCCTATTGTCTGAAATTAAACAATTCTGTTCTCATATTTTAAGTTTAGTTTTAATTTTGTCTTTTCGTTTAAGTCAGAGGTCAAAATTAACAATTTTGAAACACTTGTCAATCTCTTAAGGAGTACACAAAAAAATTTAACAAAATCTAGACAAATGGACTAAACTGAAACTGGACTTAAAATGTAAGGATCCAACCATTCAAATTGAAATAATAAGAACCATAGTAAAATTTGTGTCAAAGTTTTGGAGAAAAAAGTGCAATTTACCTTTTGGATATTTATCTTATCCTAAAAGAAAATTATTAGATTGGGAGTATCATGTGATATTGGCTGCATAGTATATTCGGCCAATGAAAAATTACAATACCATCCTTTATACTAGTAGCAACTTGTGCTATGCACAGGATTTTATAATTCAAAGTGAGTTATTATAATCATTTTGTGGTGACAGTAATCTTTATATTTATTTTATATGGTGTAAAAATATATATCAATCCATAATTTATGAAATTAAGGCAAAGCTAATACAAATAATTTATGAAATTAGGATAAATTACAAATGTATTCTTGAGGTTTGATTAAAATATGAATCGCCCCCTATGGTTTTGGAAATTACATTCCACCCCTTGAGGTTTTTAATTTCATAACAAATTGTCTATTTTATTAATAAATCATCAAATCAATTAACAGTTTTTCATGATGTTAGAAATATGTTTTAATTAATAATTTTAGTAATTTTATTATTGTATAGGAAAGCAATTATGAATTTTATTTTTTTAGTTAATTCTTTTAAATAAAAAATTACAATAAGGGAATATTTGTAAATTTTCAAATCACATTGGGCAATTTGTATTTTAAGCAAATTTCAGGAGGTGTATCTATAATTTACCCATGAAAAATTGTAACGCCCCAAAAATATATACATTCGATAAATCCAATTTAACTCATAACTTGATCTAATTCTCAATTATTCCACCATTGAAATGAGAGAGCGAATAATAAATACAACATTCATTAATGTATGGACCAAAAACCCCCTTATTTTCTATTCATGACTTTCTAGTAAGATCCATAAAATAAATTACATGCATTCATACATTAACTATTTCTAAAATATGAATCTAAGGCATGTGATGATAGAAATTTAAAGCAAGCTAAGTACCAAATAATGCCCTTTGGGCTGCAAACGAACCGAGCTGTTCATGAACAAGCTCGAGTTCGGCTCGTTAAGGCTCATTCGAACTCGGCTCAATTAATAAATGAGCCGTGCTCGAGCTTAAATTTCAAGTAATAAATGAGTCGAGCTCGAGCTTACTATTGCTCGACTCGAATAGGCTCGCGAGCTCAAAATATAAATATTAATTTACATTTTTATATTTTAAATATATATTATATATTATATATTATAATAAAATATTTATATATTATATTATATTTATTAAATTAAAATACTTTAACAGTTAAAATATTTTAACTGGTCCATCATCATTATTGATGCTTATTATTTTAATATAAAAAATATTCAAATGTTTGCCATTGCTTTTCTTTACTTTCGTTGACTGCCAACAACTCATGACTTTATAAGCATTTGGACAGGAGTTTTTCCTTTCCCAGCAATGTGGGACTCAAAGAATGGCCGGAAATGTTGTGCCAAAAGACGTCGTTTGGTGTCTTTGTTTAGAGTCCCACATCGATTGCAAAATACATTTTAAATTGGACAAAATTCTATATAAGTGCAAGTGCAGAGGGTTAGTTTGTGGCTTCCACGGATCTCTTTTGGCTTAACGAGCCATTATGAGCCGAGCTCGAGTTATACAAATTTTAGACGAGCCGAGCTCGAGCTGAGATATTGTAGCTCGTTTCGAGCTCGAGCCGAACTCGAACACCTTATAAATAAGTCAGTCGAGTTCGAATATTGTAAAACTCGGCTCGGCTCGGCTCGATTGAGCCCTAAATGCCCTATTGGCTACAAGTTCCAAGGCTTTGTCCGGTTACAACAAAGTGGTTTTCAAACTCATACATAAACAACCCTTGATTTGCAAAGAAAAAAAAACAAAACAAATAAATAATTGAGCCTTGTGCTCCAAAAGATCCTCCACGCCTTCACTTTGGCGGAGGCACACCAATCACCTGAAAAATGGTTTCCACTAAGGGATGAGCATAAAACCCAACAGAGATAATTTAAATAAAGTGCATACAGTTTAACAATATTATGAGGTACAATGCATATGAGATGCCAATGCCAAAAGTCATAGGTTTTCTCATTTTGAAACTCTCATGCCATGCACTTGTTCAAAAGCATAACCGATTCAATTATCCATTTCATAGAACAAGGGGCGGTAAATACGACACTAGTAATCCCTAGGTTGGTATCTGCAAGTAGGCATAACTAGCACTACTAAAACCCCACTTTACCAGTGACTAACCGAAAGGGAAGTGGTATCTCCTCCGCGCATGTTTTCGGTCTTTCACCTTGGACATTCAGGCCAACTTAAACAATACCAATCTACACCTCCTATCCAGACTTACCAAATGTATTTACCTCATAACTCAACACATTTCAAATATTCCCAATGAATCAATTTGAAACAAAACCAATTTCTCAAATCTAATGCAAGAATTAAATTATGAGATTATGCAATGTTTAATGCCATGCATAAATTTACAAATATTTCAATTTACCTATTACACATGCAATTTCTACAACAATCAATATAACCCTCCACCGGTTGCCAAAACAATTGTCTCTATACAAAATATAAATTAAAAAAAAAAACAAATATAACTCTTAATCTCATATTTTCAATAATTTCAACATAGGAGTAACAATTACATGCTCAATCTCCTCTTTCCCAACTCAATCAAAATCATAATATTCTTTCAAAAATTTCATCAATTTTCCGTTTTTATTCAAACTCAAGAATTTACCAAAAATTTTCATAATGCCAAAAACAACATGTTTCTTTCGACTTTTCTTAATGCTTCAACATAATAAATATTTTCATCTTTCTCAAAGTTTGATATTTTTAAATTAAACAATTTTCAAAAGAAATGTCAATGGCTTTTCAATATTCCCAACAACATTCTCATCAATCTCATCCCTTCAAACATCCACTTTAAATTCTCATTTGTTCAAATATACACATGTTTTTAACTCTTGCAAGCTTTCCACAAACTTATCCCAAAAATCTAAATCTTAACATTTTAAATTTCTAAGGTTTTATCAAAATTTGGGGATTTCTCATATAAAATAAAATAAAACAAATACATTCCTCAACATCCATGAGTCATACAAAAATCACACTCAACTAACAAGAGATTTTCAAAAAAATATTGAGTACTCCCCCCTTTTATACATTTAATATACCATTAATAAAACCCTAATCTTTTTAATTATCACACTATCAAAATAACACATAATAAAGTTAAAACACATCCACAATGTTTAAAAAATCCCTACCTCAATAGCTAGAAGGAGGAAGAAGCAAAAACCCCAATTTTTTGACGTTGTCGGATTTCAATCTCCATCGATCAAAATGTTGTTCTTGCCAAACTCTTCATTTTGGCCTCAAGAACTAGGGTCCAAAACCTAATGGATTTTGGTGGATCGAGAAGGTTGTGCGATAAACCTAAAAGATATTTGAGAGAGCAAGAGAGAGAGAGAGAGAGAGAGAAGCTCTTTGTTTTGAGCTCCTAAAACAGAGAGAAGGGAAGTAAAAGGAAAAAAAAAAAGTGAAGGAGGAGGTGAATGTTTTTTTTTTTTTTTTCAAACATCTAACTATATATATATCTCTATATATATATATATCAATTAAAAAATATATTTCAACATCATTATAATATTTTGTAATATAAATGACAACAATGATATATTATTTTATCACCACAAAATATATTTCGTTTGGTGACACACACCATAAATATTTGTAACTCCCTCAAGATTATAAAATAAATAATAATAACAATAACAACCATAATATATGGTTACAAAGGAGTCATGATTCAATCAATTGGGTCCAAAATAAATGAGTTTAATAATTTAAAATAAATCTCCAATTGAGATTAAAGTATAAATAAATTTTAAAATACTTAAGGTGGTCCCCACCATTCACATAATTGAATACGAACCAAAATGATGAAGTATGAGCTAACCAAATAAGTCTCAAAAATTAAATTTATACCTCATTTATTACTCAAGACCTAAAAATTACAATAATTAAAACTAAAAATTTGCCAAGCGGGCATTACGAAATCAAAATCAAGAAGTGATATAATTTATTTTCACTAATTTAAATAGAGTGGTTCACGACACGACAACTATAATAATAATAACTTAACAATCAAACGATTTGGAAATTCATACTAATCCAATTTCAATCAATACCCGAACCCATAAACATATTAAATATATATATATATATATATTTTACTAAACAGATATTGAAAGGAATAATAAATAAATAAAAATTCAATTTGATTTAACTCATTACAAAAATTAATTACAATAAAAAATATAAGTGAAAGAATATTATATTCTAAGAAAAGAATTTTAGAAATCAAACAAAAATACCAAACCCATTTGAGCCATCTATATAAAATAAAAACAAAACTAAAAATCACGCACATTTTGAACTTGAGACACCTTGTGAAATCTGTTGGAACAATCTTATGTGTACAAAATAAAATTGAAACAAATAAAATAATTTACTAACATAAAGTTCTTGTTTCGAAAAATAAAAACAGCAAGACAATGATCAAGTCGAATGTGTGACACTCTGTCCTTAAGGCAAATTTGTAGCCGCACAGGTGCTTACGAATTATCAGCGTCTATCTCCCAGGATACAATGATCACTTACACAAATTGTAGCAGCACTGCAAACAATCTGTTCTGGCGAACCAAAACTTGAGTTCTAAAACTCTCTTCAGATTCTAAGAACTAGTATGAAGAAAATATGCAGTATAGAAGGAAAACGGGACAGGAAAATGAAATGAATCAATCTGCTAGAGGACCTTGAATTTGTAGGCCAAGAGGTGTCTGTTCGGAAGGGTAGAAAACCCTTCGAACATGTATGAAACATGGAACCACCGGAAAGTGAAAAAAGGCGATCGGAGAGGCATTCTTCTAGGAAGCAAAAAAAAATTTGAATTCGAATTTTGGCACAAAGGTTTGAATTAATCTGTTAGGATTTCAAATTTTCTGATAATAATTTGAAAAAATTCAAATGGATTTTGTCCAAAAGATTAAGCTAGGACCCGACCCACAACTTACACCCGCACCCGGTCGGGCTCGGCCAGCTGGAGGCAACAGCGCGCGCGCGTATGGTGTATTTGGGTCTAGCCTACTTTGCCCATAATTCTTCTTCTTATAAAACTTGGGGTGCTCCTTAAGGTCCAACCCAAGTATGTCAACCTGAAACCTATATACTCATATAAGGTCTCTTATTGCTTCTATGTGGGACACCCAAAACAAGATAATCCATATTTGACTCTTCAACTTCACATTTCACGAACCCAAAAACGGCGTCAACTTCTCATTCATTCATAAATGGTTTTAATGATCCGTCTTCGCTGTGTGACTTGTCATGCGGCTAGGAACATGTCATCACTTGGACCCACCTCAAAAGACGCATGGGCCCCACTTAAATTTGGGCTCAAAGATGGCCCAAAATAAGCCTATAAAGCAAAAATTTCCAACAATCCCCCACATGAATGGAATTGACGGAGAGAAAATGCAACAACATGATGTTTATACAAAGAGCACAGAAGTCAGAGATATTCTGCAAAGGATAAGTAGCCTATGGCTTTGAACCTTCCCTTGTGAGACACTATCAGATTTACTAGCTAATCAGTGAATATGATGTCTTGAATTGTTCAACCATTTGTATAAACTAAGACAATAGAACTCACACAGCATATTTCCAAACACAGTTTGGTTTTCACGATTGTGTTCATTTTGGCCCTGAACAACCTGGTACTTCATGAGTGCTTTAGAGAATTTTAGCCCTTACAAAACTCATAGAACCGACTCAGTTCACACTCATATATGTGATTTCTTATGAAAGTATCCTGCCATACTCCACTAGGTATTCCTAGATATAAGAATCATTAAAAACATTGCTTATTCTAACACGCTGCAGACATCACTATTTCAGGATAGAAATTGGTAGGAGTTTGACTCCCCAGTGATCCTTATGAGTCACACACAACATAGTTGTCCCTTTGAACTTAGATCTTGGGATCTCTAGTCAATTAGGTTGGGTTGCCGTTGTGGTAACTCTTATTAAATAGGCTTAAGTCCCATTTCCCTCGATGAATTCTCAACTAACTCTCTTACTAACCCTTTGGTTAGTAGATTTGCTATGTTGTCTTTAGATTTCACATATTCAATGGAAATAATTCTATTAGAGAGTAGTTGTCTCACAGTGTTATGATGACGAATGTGTCGTGACTTACCGTTATACATATGACTCTGTACCCTACCTATTGCCGATTGACTATCACAATGTATGCATATAGCAGGCACAGGTTTCAGCCACATTGGAATATCTTCAAGGAAGTGACAAAGCCATTCTGTTTCTTTCCCAACTTTATCTAATGCTATAAACTCTGATTCTATAGTAGACCTAGCAATGCAAGTTTGTTTGGAAGATTTCCAAGATACAATCGCACCACCAAGAGTAAAGACATACCCACTGGTAAATTTTGAGTCTCTAGTATCCGATATCCTGTTTGCATCACAGTATTAGTATCCTTCAAGTACCCTTGGATATCCAGTATAGTTTAACATAATGTTACAATCAAATCTGAGATATCTTAGAACCCTTATAATTGCTTTCCAGTGTTTTACTCCTGGATTACTCTTACTGCATAAGCTATATTTGGACGAGTGCAGTTCATCAAGTATATTAAGCTTCCAATAATTTGGGCATACTCTAACTGGGAAATACTTTCATGTTCATTCTTCAAAAGAAACAAATTAACATCCACATGTGTTCTAGCAAGATGATTATCATCTTTGCTAAATTTGTTACATATTTTCTCAATGTAATGTGATTGTGACAAAGCATATCCTTCTAATGTTTTGATAATTTTCATACCAAGAATTACATCAGCAATGCCCATGTCCTTCATGTCAAAATGTTTATTCAACATTTTCTTGGTAGTTTTAATCATGTCGTTATTACTACCTATGATGAGCATATCATCAACATAAAGACATAATATGACATAACCTTTGTTTGTGTTTTTAATATAAACACATTTATCACATTCATTAATTTTAAATCCATTTGTTATCATTGCCTTGTTAAATTTCTCATGCCATTGCTTTGGCGCTTGTTTTAAACTGTATACTAATTTAACCAATTTACACACTTGCTTTCCTTTCCCTGGAACATAAAGTCCTTCTGGCTGTTCCATGTAGATTTCTTCATTTAACTTACCATTTAAGAAAGTTGTTTTCACATCTATTTGATGAATTTCTAATTTATATAAAAATGCAATGGTAATTAACATTCTAATGGATATTATTTTAGTAACTGGTATGTGTCAAAATAATTAAGATCTTCTTTTTGTCTATATCCTTTGACCACAAGTCTTGCCTTGTATTTATCAATTGACCCATCTGCTTTCATTTTTTTATTGAAAATCCACTTGTATTCAAAAGGTTTACAAGTGTGATTTTGTAAGATGGATTCAACTTCACTAGAGAGAATATTGGAACAATTCATCAATTGTGTGTTTTAAGCCCACTAGATAGTGGCAAATCAGTTTTTCTAAGCCCACCCGAGGGTGGCAAATCCACGTCTTAGCCTACTTGCAGGTAGCACCATCAAACCACTTTAAAAAATAAACATGAAATGTTTTGTTCCATTCAGACGATCCAGTCTATACTTGTATGCTGTGCGCATCACATAGTAAATCTAGGCTAATACCGGAATAAGAACGCATAATGTTTTCAAAAATAGATTCATGGTTAGTAGAGGCCGATCTTTGATCGGCGAGCGGGGTGCTCACGAAGTGACCTTCCCCAATCGTACCCAAGTTCCCGACCGAGACAACTTTGGTGATGACGGACACGTGGCCTTAGGCAAACGAGTCAGGGTTTCCTAAATTTCCCAAAATAAAACATTTAGGTGGCGACTCTGTATCTGCAAAGCAGTCCATGTTTGGCACTTCTTTCAAAATCTGTTTTCTCAAAACGATTTTCCAGATTTGGACTCTTTGGTTCAGATTTAGAACCGTGACAATTTGAGAGTCCGAACTGTAATGAACCCCAAATGAACAGAACGGGACTCGTTCCTCCCGGGGCGTTCGGGACGTCTACAGATTACCTCAGAACTTATGGGGGGAACAGTACTATCTGCTAATTATATTCTTAATAAAGTACCCCAAAATAAAGTAAATCAACACCTTATGAAATGTGGCATAGGAAAGTACCATCCTACAAATACTTAGAAATGTGGGCGTGTTTGGCTAAAGTGGATTATTCCTAGTCAAAAAAGACTAAGAGGTTCAAAAATCATTGATCGCATATTCATCGGTTATGTCAAGAATAGTAGTGCATATCGATTTCGATTCATAAGTCAGAACACTCAAATGAAATGCACGTAAATACTATTACTGAATCTAGGAATGCATCGTTCTTTGAATATGTGTTTCCTAATAA